GTAATATCCAAAGCACCCATCAGACATGCATGAATAAAGATGAAAAAAAAATCTTTTTACAAGTCTAGGTGTCTATCAAGACCCAAACATCTGTCACCTCCTGAACAGATGCTAATTTTAGCGTCCTTTCATTTTTTTTTCTTCCTTCTTTTTCCTTCGTTAGATGGATCTAACATATGCTTGGAATTTCACAAACGTGGTTTTGGTAGGTGTGATATCTAAGAATAGCTGAATCTGTTTTCAAGACAGTATGTAGGGATGCTTCCCTTGTTCTCGAAGATCCAGTCTTTGGGTTTTTCTTACTCTTTGGGGCTTCTCCTAGGATGCCACGTGAGTCTCAAATCTGTGTCTGCAGATGCGAGCTAACTTGGCTTGGGTACAATTGCCAACAACCTTTATCTCCACGTGGATGGAAGTCTTCCAGCGCAGCCAGCCTCCAACTACAAATGTGTCTGGTGATCTTGCAAAAAATGCAAATTCTGATACCTTGGGGCTTGGTGGGGCCTCACACTGCATTTCCAATGGTCCTGGTGATGATGGTGCTGGCCCATAGGCAGCCTAGAGCGGTGAGGTTGTAGTGGGCTTGTTATTCTTTCTTTTTTCATGAGATACTAGAGACCCTGTGCATGGATTCATGCATAGGCGGGGTCCCTCGGTCTGGCCTGCGCCCTCTCACAATCTGGGACCCCTCAGGGGATGTCAGACTGCCAGTTTGAGCCCAATCCCCACAAGCCAGGCTGAGGGACCCCACCTGCGCATGAATCTATGTACTGGGCCTCTAGATATTTGGTTGATCTCTTTCCGTCCTTTCCTCTCCCCCCTCTCCTCTGAGAGTCATCAGTCTGTTCCATGTTTCCATGCCTATGCATTGAGCATCTGCCCCCTGGTGGTCAGTGTACTCCATAGCTACTGGTTGAACGGTTGCTTAGGCTTTTATATATATTTACATTGATTTCAAAGAGGAAAAGAGAGGGATAGAAACATCAATGATAAGAATGAATCATTAATTGGCTGCCCGAGCCTGCAACCTGGGCATGTACCTTGCCCAGGAATCCAACTGTGACCTCCTGGTTTATAGGTTGATGCTCAACCACCCAGCCATGCCACAGGACAAGGGCTTGTTATTCTTTATTTGCCCTGTCCCCACCCCAAATCCATTCCCTGCGCTATGGATTGCAGCATCTGGATATCTTGGCCCTGTGTCTTGCAGATGGGTTGGGCCAATGGGAGGTTGGGTCAGGGGCTGGGCCAATGGGAGGCAGCCAGATATCAGAGGGCGGGAGTGTCAGGATATTTCTTTCTTCCTGGCAGAGCCTTCTATTGCAGCACCTCTCAGCTGGGGACTTCTCCTCCCAGCAATGCTGTCCTCCAGCCTGTGTCTTTGAGGCCCAAGGGTGCTGTGGAGAGTTCCACACCCCCCAGATGTCTAATCCCTGCAACCTGTTAATATGGTACTTTATGTGGAGAGGCCTTTGCAGATGTGATTAAGGATCTTGAGGGGGTTGGTGGGGGTGGGGAGGGAAGACATGAAACACTTTGAACAATTAAAAAAAAAAGATCTTGAGGTTGAGAGGATTCTGGATTAACTGGGTGGACCCAATAAAATCATCAGGGTCATTATTCTTGAAAGTGGGAGGTGGGAATGTCAGAGTTCAGTGTCAGACTTGACCAGCCTTTATTGGCTTTGATGATGGAGAAAGGAAGAAGCCAGGAGGCAAAGAATGTGAGACGCTTTAGAACCAGAAAAGGCCCCCAGCCTCCAGAAGGAATGAACCCCTGCAAGCTCCTTGGCTTTAGCTCAGTAAAACTCAGCTCAGATTTCTGACCTCCAGAACTATAAAATAGCAAGTTTGTATATTAATTTATTAAATATATTTGTTGCTGATGAAGGTCCCTGGCAATGAGCAAAACACACAAGGGAGCCCAGCCGGTGTGGCTCAGTGGTTGAGCATCAACCCATACACCAGGAGGTTGCCGATTCATTTCCTGGTCAAGGTTTCCGGCTTGATCCCAAGTAGGGGGTGTGCAAGAGGCAACCAACTGATGTTTCTCTCTCTCTTCCTCTCCCTTGCTCTCTCTGAAATCAATAAAAATATACATATAATTTAAAACAAACAAACAAACAAACAAAACAGTACTCCTTTGCAGGTTTAGAAATGATCTGAATAAACCCTCCAATGACGTTTGGCATGTAACTATCATTTAGTATGTTGTGTTGTCATTTCCTCATACCCTTAGTCCTGATCCAGGCCTCACTGCATAGCAGTTTTATCCAATCTTGTATTCAGCCTGGGTGCCTCCTTTCCCTAAATGGGCCATAAAGTCCTTTTAAGTTAAGGATTAAGAGAGATTTATCTTGTATTCCCTACAATACCCTGCCCAATGCCTGAGTCACTGCGCTCATTAAAAAGCGGTTGAGCGGATGCGTGCATGCATACTGTTTGGCATTTTGGATCTGAAAAAACATCTGAAGTCATTCTCAGCTCACACAGCCGGTGTAACTGCGACTGGTCTCACGCGGTGGCTGCAGCCCCTTTCCCAGCCTGTCCTCATCCCCGCCGAGTTACAATCCCTGCAAGGCCTCCGCCACAACTCCCTCCCTGGTGCCCCCACAGGGACCCCCCGAGGAGCGTTTTAAAGAAACGAGTGCTGGTGACTCAGTCTTTCCAGTCATGTCCATCAGCCCCAGTGAAGGAAACAGCTTCTTTCCTCAACTCCACACAAGGCAGATCCGGAATGTAATAGAAAAAAAACATGTCAAGGGACAGAGTTCCCAGAAAGGCGTCTACAAAGCAAATGAAAGGATGCTCAGCCTCGCTCTTAAGAAAAATACACATTTAATGACATTGGACTATCACTGTTCACCTGGCAGAGGGCAAAGGTACAAGTGAGGCCACATGACAATGTGAAGGAGGCGCGGGGCGCAGGCTGGCAGAGGCATAACCGGGCGCGGCCTCACTGGGGACAGTTCAGCATTACCTCTTGAGTGACAAATGCAAAGCCCTTGGAGCATGAAATGAAAAGCCCTTGGCCCTTTTACAGGGACACAGAACAGTTCAGTGTTCAAAGTCGCTGGTGGTCCACTGCACGGAGGAGAAATTTCTGTATGCCGTTTTGAACCTGTTAACATTTTGTTCAAAGCGAATGTGTTACGTAGTCAAAACACACACACAGTTTTGTTGTGTTTATTTATTTTTTTTTAAAGAATTCTATTTTGCTTTATTAATATATTTTTATTGATTCCAAAAAGAACTCCTCCTTCCCCAGCCAGCATGGCTCAGTGGTTGAGCACTGACCTAAGAACCAGGAGGTCATGGTTTGATGCCCCATACGGGCACATGCCTGGGTTGTGGGCTAAATCCCCAGTAGGGGGGCATGCAGGAGGGAGCCTATTGATGATTCGCATCATGGATGTTTCTATCTCTCTCCCTCTTCCTTCCTCTCTGAAATCAATAAAAATATTTTAAAGAAAAAAAGAAAAAACAAACAAACAAACAAAAAAAACCAGTTCCCCTTCTGTCTCCCAAAGCTATATACAGAGTAGGCACTTAATAAAATCTCGAGGACCTGACATTCAGGCTACATTCCAACTCATCTTCTAGGTAAGAGCTGCTGGCTGTCAGCGTTCTGCTGGGGTAAAAGGCCAAGTGACCTGTAACCCCGGTGCTTCTCGGACATGTCTGAAAAAGTAAATGACAAGTACCATCACATAAGAAAATGGTTTTATTCCTAATTTTTAGTTCCCATACAGTTTACAAATACACTTGAACTCTGGTAATACAGCTTTGCAGCTAGCAAAGCAGTTGAACTAACACCCATAAATACAGGTTGCGGGGGGAGGGGGGGGGACACACGACACAATTAATACCCACTAATGTTTCTCTACATAAACTATTCTTTTAATGTCACTTTTTAAAAACACTTGCAAATAGTCTACATAATACGTGGGGCAAAAAGGCAATTAAGTGAATCTCTGGAAACACTAAATGTATAATAAACAGTGCATATTGTCAACATTTACATGATTCACATCAGAATGATGACATCCTAAAACGTATTCCTTTTAAAGGATAGATTTATCAATAAAATATTACATATCTTTTAATACTCTGGTACAATACTTCATATACTGCAGGAAAATTAAATGTAGGTCTAGTCATCAGCTTAATAAAGGATCCTTTTCCATTAGCTTTTATTAATAAAAGAATCACAATTAGGTTATAAATAAGAGAGGCAAATTATTAATTACATGATTTGAGGTTTAGGGTGAAAAATTATAAAAATTAGTTTGATATACAGCAAAGTTATACAACACACTAAAACCAACTGTTTAATATTATAGCTTTGCCTTGTGTGAACTGCCTGTAGTGAAGACAGAGCAAACGTTTTAATGATGGAAGATTCGGTAAATTATATTTTGGAACTTATTTTTCAAGAGGAAGAGGGAAACAGACTTCGACAAAATTAAGGGCTAATACAGGCATTGTGAAATCAGGGAGGCCATGTGCTTGCTCTCTAACATTTTATTCTCCCAACAACATACAGGAAGTTGTGCTGGGTTTGTATTTATGTCTACAGTCTATGTTCCCCTTATGGAGTAATTAGCTACAACAAAGCACTTCACAACTGAATACCTTTCCACATTCCCCTAAACTAGAAATAACTAAAGACCTTATCTTATTCTTACAATCCCCAGTACAATAACCCCTAAAAATGATCTTGATTTTCTTGGCTTTTCCAGAGCAACTGGGCTCCTTAAAGAATGCAAAACGCCAAGAAAGCCGTACATCTATTTTCTCACATTTGAAAAGCCGCTGACTTCCAGAGAATAGATGACCACCATTTTCAGGAGGGCCACCCAGTAGATATGAGATGTCTTTATGTTTTTGTTTTTTATAAAAGTTATTAAGAATGAAATTTGGCATTTAAAAAAAAAAACCCAAGTACCACGTGCCAGATAATTTCTTCACCCCCAAATATAAAATCCTATGCTTATAATTTTAAAATATTCCACCGGCTATAGGATATTGTGCAAATTTTATGTCTACCAGCCACCCACAGCCAACCGCATCCGTGTCTCTCTCACGCCTGTCTTCCAGGTAACCTGATTCAAATATTACTGACTGCTCTGGCCCTTGGCCCTCTGACGTCCTAGAAACCACCTCTTTGGAACTTTCATTTCCACTATTTTTTTTTTTTAATCTGCACTCAAAACTCCCCACATCTTCACTTGCACGATTCCATCCCACAGAGAGAAATCTCATCTGAGAACCTGCAATCAATCTCCTTTTATCAAACACAACCAATCTTAGCACCTCTGGACTGTCATCATCTTGTCTGGCAGCAGTTGATCTAACGTGATGGGTTACTGACATCGTGGAGAGAAATCTAAATGAAATCAATGTCCTGTGTATCAGAAGAGAGTGAGACAAGATCTGGTGTTTCTATTCCAAGGGCAAAAACCACTGATCGGAAGCTACTGGCAGAGATTAATGCAGCGGATATATTTATACAATCAGACCCTTGTATGCTGGTGAGAGGCTTTGCCCCCAAAGTCCAGAGTCAAAAACATGGAGATTAAAAATAGCGGAGGAGTAAGTGGATGCTGCATGGACATGATCCCAAGTCCAAACCGGAATTACAACTAAAATACAGAAAAAGTTACTGAATAATCAATGGAAGACTTGCTGGAGAGAACCCTGATAACCGAGGACCAAAAGTGGAGACTGCATAGAGGCTGGTATGAGGGGCAGAGGTGCGAAAAGGGCTGGCTGGGCCTCCACAGACAGCTGCTAAAGTTCCGGAGAAAAATCTCAGTTGTGGGGGGTTGCCACTGAGAACTCTGGGGTCTAATTCCCAAGCTAGTTCCCCCAGCAGAGAGCACCAGAACTGAGAAGGGTACTCACATAATATCTGGCTGTCTACCAGGGAGAGATGACTGGAAATTCAGACACCCTCTTGAAGGGCCAACACGTAACATTCCCTGTGGAGCCACCCATCTAGTGCTCTGACAGAGGAACAGCAGAGTGGACTGGAGCTGGGTGAGCAGAACCCAGGATCCAGGGCTCTGGGGTTAGAGCTCAGAAGGCAGACACCTTGGTTTCCAGTGCTGAGCCATTCCCTCATGCTACAGAAGTCATCTTTCTCATGCAGACAATCGCTATACAGGCCACATTGCCTGGGGGAAGACAGGTGACCCATCCTATTGGAAAACACCTTGTCCCTTACAAAACTGAGAATAACAATTAGCCTCCAGGCAGAAACAATTACCCCACCCTGTTGGGGAAAAAAAACAAACAAAAAAAAAAAAAAAAAACAACTCTTGCCATATATGTCTACCTGAGGGCAGATCAAGAGGAATCCTATCAGCCAGAGGCGGTCTCTAGAAGCTTTGGGCCTTTGCCTGATCTAATTAGTCAGAAACAGCATTTGACACTGTCCTCCACTAGAGATTGAGAGGCATAGCAGATCTACCTAACACATAGTCACAAACCCAAACAGGCAGCCGAAGTGAGGAAACAAAGAAACAACCTACAAATGAAAGAACAAGAGAATTCTTCAGAAGAAGATATAAATGAAACAGAGATAATAAAAAATAAAAAATAAAATCTTATCTGAAACAGACTTCAGAATGATGGTAAAAATGCTCAATAGCATGAAAAAAGATACAGTAACTATGGAAAAAGAATAGTTGAAAATAAAGAATGATATAGCACAAATAAAAAACATATTGGAAGGAATACACAGCAGATTAGGGGAAGCTGAGGGCTGAACCAATGAATTAGAAAACTGGGTTGAAAAAAAAAAATCACTCAATCAGAGAACCAAAAAGAAAAAAACAATTAAAAAACAGGAGGACAGCTTAAGAGAGCTGTGGGACAACATGAAGCAAAACAATATTCGAATAGCAGGTATGCCAGAAGAAGCAGAAAGGGATAAAGAATGTGTTTGAAGAAATAATGGCAGAAAACTTCCCTAACCTGGTAAAGGAAAAAGGCACAAAGAAATCCAAACAAAAACCCAAATAGGTCTACACCCAGACACATCATAATTAATATGCCAAAAATTAAGGACAAAGAGAGAATTTTAAAACCAGCAAGAGAAAAGCAAACTATTATTTACAAAGGAGTTCCCATAAGACTGACACCTGATTTCTCATCAAAAACTTTATAGGCCAGAAGGAAATGGCATGAAGTTCTCAAGGTAAAGAAAAGCAAGGATCTGAAAACAAGATTACTACATCCAGCAAGGCTATCGTTCAAAATAGATGGTCACAACAAAACAACAAGAAAGCCCACTGCATGAGAACATATTTGCCAATGTTATATCCGATAAGGGTTTAATTTTCAATATTTACTGGGAACTCATACAATTTAACAAAAGAAAGATAAACAATCCAATCAAAAAATGGGGCCAAAACCGGTTTGGCTCAGTGAATAAAGTGTTGCCCTGCAGACTGAAAGGTCCCAGGTTCGATTCCAGTCAAGGGCATGTACCTTGGTTGCAGGCACATCCCCGATAGGAGGTGTGGAGGAGGCAGCTGATCGATGTTTCTAACTCTCTATCCCTCTGTAAAAAAACAATAAAATATATTTTTTTAAAAATGGGCACAGGACCTAAATAGACACTTTTTGAAAGTGGACATACAGAAAGTAAGAGACTATGAAAACATGCTGAAAGTCACTAATATCTATGAGATGCAAATCGAAATGACACTGAGGTGTCAGAATGGCTACCATCAACAAATCAACAAACAACAAGTGCTGGTAAGGATGTGGAGAAAAAGGAACCCTCATGCACTGCTGGTTGGAATGCATACTGGTGCAGCCACTGTGGAGAACAGTATGGAGTTCCCTCGAAAAACTAAAAATGGAGCTCCATTTGACCCTCTAATCCCTTTTCTAGAGAAGAAATCCGAAACACCAATCAGAAAGGATATATATACCCCTATGTTGATAGCAGCACAATTTACAATAGCTAAGATTTGGAAACGGCCTAAGTGTCCATCAGCAGATGAGTGGATTAAAAACCTGTGGTACATCTAACAATGGAATATTACACTGCTATAAAATAGAAAGAACTCTTACCATTTGCTACAGCATGGATGGACCTGGAAAGCATGGTTAAGCGAAATAAGCCAGCTGGAAAAAGACAAATATCATATGATCTCACTCATTTGTGGAATATAACGAACAACATAAACTGATGAACAAAAATAGATCCAGAGATACAAAAGCATTGAACAGTAGACCGTCCAACCTAAAAGGGAAAGCAGGGGAGGGTGTGTGTGTGTGTGTGTGTGTGTGTGTGTGTGTGGTGTGTGGTGTGTGTGTATGCATGCGTATAAGCATAAGCAATGGACACATACAGTAGGGGGGTGAGGGCATGTGTTGGGGAGTGGGAGCAGCCGGGGAGATGTCAATGGGGGGAAAAGGAGACATATGTAATACTTTGAACAATAAAGAATTTAAATTAAAAAAAAAAAAAAAACACGACAGTCAAATAAAGAGCTTATTGGACAAAAATAAAAAAGGCTAAAGGAGTACATTACCACCAACCCAGCATTATAGGAAATGCTAAAGGGACTGCTGTAATGAGAAGAAGAAACAGAGAGAGAAACCTAGACGTATAGAATTAAAATGGCAATAAACAGAGTCAAAACATTTCCACAAAATTGAGGCAAAAAAGGAGAACCATTCAATGGGACAATGTGTTTAAAAAAAAAAAAAAAAAAAAAAAAGAACAGGATTCAGGGTCCTTGTTGCAAATGCTGGACTTGAATCTCTCTATAGGCTTGACAAGGAGACAGTAGTCATGTACATTCCTCAGAAGGTGATCACGTTCAGGCCACACTTGTGTTCCGAAGCAATTCTAGGTTTGATGGATCCGGGAAGAGGGTGTCATGGGGGAACGCTACACTTTTTGCCTGTGAAAATGGCAGCCATCACTCGGCCCAAATGACTACAACCAGGGTTCGGTCAAGTCCTTCCTCTCAGGAGCAAAAGCTAGGATGATTCCGGAAAGGAGACTGTGCCTAAATGGCAATGCTGCAATACATTTTATTTTCTTCACAGAGTCAACCAGTGAGACTTTCATTGAGACACAGTCACTGAACAATGATTCAACACACGCGACAAAGAGGGATGTTTTTGAGAGAAGGCACTTCAGGTAGCACGTTAGCAAATCCTACTGCTGATTCAATCTGCCGCGCAGCCTCGTTACCATACCTCTGCTCCCAGCAGCCTTACTGCACGCATGTGTGGAGGCCAGACTGATACCAGTAGCAGGAAGAGAGCCCCTACTCACCTCCCTCTGCGGAGACCACGGTGATGTGGTGGTGCTTTCAAATGCTCTGTCCCCTGGACACATCCGTCCTTATAAGACCAGAAGTGATGAGTCAGAAAAGATGCTCAGGACTCGCAGAACTGGTGCAGAAAGCTTCTGGAAGGCTCTCTCTTTCTGTCTGAAGGCCCTCTCTTCCAACTTACACATGCCACTTCAGCTTCCCAAGGTCACTCACTAGCAGCTTCTACTTCTGCTAACAATTGTTTCGTTCCTCAGTACTTGTTCTGACAGTTACACTGGGGACCCCCAATCAACTGCACCTCCACTTCATGCCCTGGTGGAGTCCCCTCTTCCTGAATCCTGGGCCTGTGACTTGCTCTCATCAACAGAGGGCAGTAGAAGGATGCTGGACAGTTCTGTGGTTAAGTCGTAAGAAGGCCTGGCCACTACTGCCTTACGCTCTTGGGAGCTGCCGAGGCCACACGGAGACACGTGGAGAATGAGACCCAAGGACCGTGTGTACAGAGAGGGGCCCAGCCACCCAGTGTCTCAGCCAACCTGCCGACCAGCAAGAGAGACATCAGCAAGCGACACCAGTAAGCAACACCAGCAAGATGCTGAGCCCCATCAGACTGAAGAATAGTCAGGAACATTTTAAGCCACTATGTTTTGGGTGGTTTGTCGGCAACAATTAAAAACCAAAACACTGGATATCCACAGATGCATCTTTTTCAAAATACAAGACAATATTCAAATGAAAAAGAAAAAAAAATTAACAACAACAAAAATATATATGGCAAACATTTCCCCACCACAGTAGGCTGAATAGTCATTGGTTATCTGCTAAGAAAAAGCACACCTTAATCCTAAATTCCCAGGATTTTTCCCCATGATTTTTTAATGGCAATACAAAGGAAGAGAGGCAAGTTCTGAAAGTCTGGGGCACTGGCCTATTTTCATTTAGCCCCCCCAAAAAAGAGGCCATCAAAATAAATTACCGACTACTGAACAAATGATGATAAATAAAACTGTTCTCATTTCTACAGGATGTTGTCATTTAATTTTCCCCACTTTTTCCTCTAACAAGTGCCCCATCATCCCCCACAAAGAGGGGGGGAAATTAAATTTGTAAGGGTTATAAAAAGAAAGAAAAATGGCAATAACTAGGATTCGAAACACCACCATTGGCAAAGTACAGAGCACAATTTAACTGCTTCCTCAATTTAAAATAAAACTCTATAAAATATAACACTGTCTACACTGTAGAGATGATTGCTTATCTGAGGAAATGAGCCACTGGAAATCGGGTGGTGTTGAGTTAGAACGGAGTGGTCTTTAAAAGGTTTCAGATTCTGCTCATCAAAAGGGTGTCGACCACAACGCAAGCCTTCGAGGTTCATGTTCCTTCTTCACATAAACTTTCTTGCACCTGTTCTTGATCTTTTCATGGAGAGGGTGAAGCCCACCTCTGAGAAGAAATAAATGAGAATTTTGAAGGAGCCAGCATTAAAACACTTAAAAGAAGATTTAAAGCTTTTAAATATACTGCTCTTTGAAATGAGAATTTCAATGTGAAATACTAAAACTATGAGTTCCTAACTTATCATTTAAACATACAGTGCACAGCCGAAACCGGTTTGGTTCAGTGGTTAACCAAGGTACATGTCCTTGACCAGAGCATCGGCCTGCGGACTGGAAGGTCCCAGGTTCGATTCCGGTCAAGGGCATGTACTTTGGTTGTGGACACATCCCCAGTAAAGGGTGTACAAGAGGTAGCTGATCGATGATTCTCTCTCATCGATGTTTCTAACTCTCCATCCCTCTCTCTTCCTCTCTGTGAAAAATCAATAAAATATATTTTTTAAAAAGACACCATATAGTACACATGGGTTACTGTCTGAAAAGGTGATTGATGGGGGAGATGGACAAGGGAGATAAATTTCCAGCAACAGAGCTGAAGGGACGTGCAGTGGACCTTGCCCTTCTCAGTATTAACTCTGCATTTGCTTTTAATGCTTAATGAACTCTAAAATAAATCCAGCTTGGAAAAAAAAAGTTCAGGGATGCCTAGCCGGGGTGGCTAAATGGTTGAACTAGAAGGTCACAGTTCCAATTCTTGGTCAAAGCACATGCCTGGGTTGCAGACTCAATCCCCCTCTTCCTTCCTCTCCCTTCCTCTCTGAAATTAAAAAAAAAAAAAAAAAATCTATAAAGGCAAAAATAATGAACCAACAGCACTGCCGTTCCATACCTATTTCTGTGCTGAAGTTTTGGCAGGTTTTCTCATCTGAAGCTCTTCTGCTGCTGCATCAGACCCACATTCTCATAAACTCTAGCATTATCTTCTCTCATCCTCAAAAGAAAAGAGATGTTAACAGAAATGCAGACCATGTGGCTTAGGCTTACATGACATTGGTAAGGCACACAGTATATTATTTGGGGACCAGCTACAATGCAGATATAGTCCTGCCCCTGGAACTGGCATTCTGGAACAGGATAAAAGACATAAACATACAGCAAAGCAACTGTGAAGTTAAAGCCTCTGCTCTCAGGGGCCTGGAGGAAAGTGAACTGTTTCCAGGTAGGCAGAAGAAGGGAGGCCTGTGTAATGAGGACTCTGAGTTAGACTTTGAAGGAGGGCAGGGCATGTACACATTGAAAGGAATGGTTCTCGCCCTAGCTAGTTTGGCTCAGGGGATAGAGCATTGGCCTGTGAACCAAAGGGTCCCGGGTTTGATTCTGGTCAAGGGCACATACCTCAGATGCAGGCTCCTTCCCAGCCTGGGCCCTGGTCAGGGCTTGTGCAGGAGACAACCAATCGATGTGTTTCTCTCACATCTATGTTTCTCTTTGTCTTTGCCTCTCTCTCTTCCACTCTCCCTAAAAATCAATAGAAAAATACCCTTGGGTGAGGATTATCAAATATATATATAAAAGGCTAATAAGGTAAGTGTCTGTCCAGGTAATGATGTCACATAGCAACACTCAGCTTCCTCTCCCTAGCAACTAGCCTCCTTGCATTTTCTTCAGCCCAGGAACACAACTTGCTTTATAGGCAGGTGGAAACATTTTACACTTTAACCAAATGTCTGTGAAGCATTTTCCCATGCTTCATCTCATTTGATCCTCACAGAAGTCCTGGAGTAGGTAGGTAGGAGACTAGGTAGAATCCTATTTTCTTTTCATTAGCCAGAAAATGAAGATTTAGAAAGCTTAGAAACTTGAATCAACTGAAAAGAAGTAAGAAATGGTGGGCCTTGAAAATGACTTCAGATTTTCTCACTGCGCAAAATATAGTCAAACATTGCTGCAGTTAAATATTTTACACTTTGTTCTCCCTGTGTGATCTACAATAATAATCTGCTTTGTGTTGATATTTACTGCTGTGTTGCTGACAATTACCTGAAAGAGAAGCTGGGACGCTTCACTGGGATGGAAAAAGTTTAGCTACATCAGAAAGCAGGTCTAATTAAGCAAGTTTATTCTATATCTATAAAAGGCTAAGTTGACTTGCACATGCGCAATACATATAAAGCTCTCGCTGGCGCCAATCTCACACATGTGTTTTGATCTGTCATTGTTCATCGTGAATTTGACTGACACTTCTATTATAAAGAAAGGGTAATAGTGATATTAAAATATTTCTTCTAATTAATTTCCTTTCAATGTGCACAAATTCATGCAACTGAACCACTAGTAAATAAATAAATGAAATGGAAGGAAGGAAGGAATCTAATTTCAACCAGAATGATCTGAATGAGCAAGAGTTCCAAGATGGGAAAGTGTAAGAGCAGTCAGGCCATAATCTGGTTACAGAATCTGGTTGTGGAAAGGGGAACACTGAACATGAAGCTCAGTGGGAGGTGGGAGGGTAGTTAGGGCCCTGTGACGGAGGCCAATGTATCAGAGCCCTGATTCTGTCTGCTGAGCAGGGAGGGGAGAGCAGAGCAGTCCCAGAGAGCAAGGAACCAAGCAACTGTGGGTGCCAGCCAGGGGTGTGGAGACAAAACAAGGAAAGGATCGGGATGTCCTGGATGTGTGCCCTACAAGGGAATGACGAGAGCAGAGAGAGAGAGAGAGAGAGAGAGAGAGAGAGAGAGAGGGAGAGAGAGAGAAACTGTTTATGTCACAGCCAGGCACTGGTGACAAGGGAGTCGTCAGAGCTGATTCTGTTGGGCCAACATGAGGGAAAGCTCCCTGGCAAGGACTCAGTCCAGACCTGCTGGTTCCACTGCAAATCATTACAGATGGCGATTTAAAATAACAACTTTCCCTGTCAGTCTGGAGGAAAGAAAAAAGCAGGTAGAGCAAAGAGGCAGCATGATGGCGAGCATATTTTTTGCTGTGTAATTTCATTTCAACATTAAATAGAAAGCAAATATAAATAGCCTCTTCTATGCCATTTTAAATGTTTATAGAGAGATTAAAGTCAGCAGGGGTTTAAAAATCCATATCGGAAGTGTATAGAAATAAAACTCTTAAGTGGGAAAAAACAAATGTTATACCAGACAATGACTAGAATATATAGGAAATAATAACTTAAACTGCCATTCACATAATCAATTTAACCTGTTTTTCTATCATTTAAACAAATAGCTGGCAAAGTTTTTCTATAAAGAACCAGGGTAAATAATGTACCGTTTCCCCGAAAATCAGACAGTGTCTTAATTTTTTTCTCCCAAAGTTGCGCTAGGAACTTATTTTCAGAGGATGTCTTATCTTTCCATGCGCTAGGTCTTATTTTCAGAGGATGTCTTATTTTTGGGGAAACAAGGTAGTCTCTGCAAGCCATAAACAGTCTCTGTCATATATTATTCTTGATGTATGTTCATGTGCAAGATAATAACCCTTTAAAATCCATTGAGAACTGTACTCAAACAGGCCACAGCCAGAATTTGGCCTGGGGGCTGTAGTGTGCTGACCCCTGATTTAAACACTAAGCAGATTTCTGTTAACTATGGATTGTATTGATACATTAGTAGTCAATTAACTTACTTTTACTTGGTAAACAGTCTTATATACCAAAGGGGGTGCTGTCTACCTCTGCAACAAATCCCACACCATCAAAAGAAAAATGAGGTCCCTCCAGAAGATCCACAACTTGATATACTCACAACCCCATGTAATCCTGCTTGTGTGCAATCAGACTTCAGTTCAGGTAAATTCAAATTTAGGCAGCCATTGGTACACTCACAAATCGGCCAGCCAACAATTCAATGAAAGATGTGTGCTAAAAAGACTTGTAGGTGGTTGGTGGTTGTTTTTTTTAGTTTTTAGGGTTGTTTTGTTTGTTTTTTTGCTCATCTAGCCCCTAAGCAACCCCCCCCCCCCCGCCCCTCCAGCGGCCCGGGGCCAGCCTCACCGTGTCCCAGTGACTTCCACAGGCACTCGCCCCTGGAGAGTCAGCAGCCCTTTCCACCTCGGGCTCCCAGGCCGTGTGCTCACTGAGGGTCCTCTCCTCTAAGGCAGTCTGTGGGGACCGGGCTTCCCATGGCCGGGTCCATTTGATTTTAACGGACCTAGCCCGGAATGGCCAGCCACGGCCTAAGAGCCGGCCCAATCTAGTCCAAAGGCCTGACACTGGTTCTGAAGACCCAAACCTGGCCCCTGAGACCCCAACCCACTCACAAATAGCCAAAAACAGTCCCAGAGGGCGGAGCCTCGCTCCAAAGAGCCTTCTCTAGCTTGAAAGGGATAGCCTAGCCCCGAATAGGCCAGCCAAGAACTGAGAGGCAAATCTAGCCCCAAAGGGCTGAAGAGCCGAGACTAGCTCCTACAACCCAACCTAGACCCCCAAAACCAAAGCCAGTCCCCAAGGGCAGAACTGAGCCTCCAAGAGCCCAGCCCGGACCCAAGAGACCCAGTCAAGACTTGCAGTTTTTTAAGCTTGTCCATAGAATTATTTCAGGTGAAAAGAGTTTCCCTCATTACTACTTACTCCGCACAGGCTGGTGTTGGAGTGCAAGGCGGGAGGGGGCTCTGGTCTCCACCTGTCTGGTCCGTGAGGGAATACTTAATATTTGTATACTCGTGGCCTTTCCTCTTGCTTTTCTGAAAGGTGAAGATTGCATATATGAGGATGTGACTCTCTTAAGGGAATAAAAAAGGCATTTCAGAGAGAGAGAGAGAGAAAGAGAGAGAGAGAGAGAAAGGAACACTGAGTGGAGGGAATCATGCCTGCTGTTTAAAAATTTAATACTGTAAATGGAAGTTAACGAAGAACTCTACTTCAAAATGGCAGAATGTGAGGAGAACCACTTATAAAAACTTGAGCCAGGCCAGTGTGGCTCAGTGATTGAATGTCAACCTGATTGAGGAGAACCAGAAGGTCACGGTTCAATTCCTGGTTGTAGGCTTGATCCCCAGTGTGGGGTGTGCAGGAGGCAACAGATCAATGATTCTCTCTCATCAGTGATGTTTCTTTTCTCTCTCTCTCTTCCTGTCCCTTCCTCTCTGAAATCAATAAAAATATATATTTTTTTAAAAGCTGGGTGGGAAAGTCTCTAAATTCTCCAAAATAAGGATAAAAACCAAAGCCTCTTTTCCCAGCTTTTCCCACCAAGAGTACATTACGTGCTTTAACACATTTCTGAAGTTTCCACTTTGTACCCACAGTAAGGCACTTTCTCTGTTTATTGGGAATCCTTCACTTTGAGCCACTTTATGCTTTAACCCTTCCTGCCCAAATTAAGTGTAACTGGGAGATAAAACATACAATAACCTATAGTAACAATCTACATATTTCATAGCACTTACAATAACACAGTCAGGCTGAAAGCACGGAAGTTCAGAACCAGTAGCTTGTTAATTATTTGACCCTATGCTTCTAGACATACACTGTCTCTGAAGATGTTTTTCACAATGAAACAATCTAGTGAGTCCTTTGGTGGGAAGTGAGAACCGAGCAAACTAATTAGTTATCTCTGGCTGACCATTCTTTGTGCTGCTAGGCTAGAATTGTTCAGTAAGGTGGCAGGTCCCATTTTGAAAAGAGCTTAGTTCCTATTTTGAGCATAGCAACCGGGCTGGGGTTGGGGGAGGAGAGGGAGACAAGTACAGCTCCCCAAAAGAGCAGTCTCCTCATTTCCCTCGTCTCAGCTCATTCCTAATTAACTCAGCTTTGTGTCTGTTATGAATAGCTTCAAATGGAAAGGCTCCAATGCCACATTCTTCTTCATTATGCATGCTTATTAAAACTGAAATTTCACCAATTTCAACTCGACCAAATTGGTGGTTCAAACCACGTTATGCTATCAGAAGTGAAGCATTCATTTAAGAGATGGAATCAGGATAAATATGGTCTGAATTAAATTGGAACAGGCTGGAAACTTCGAGATTTTGAATTCTAAGCATGCCGTTGAGCTGGGGAAAACCGTCCCCTTCCTATGTGGCACTTCCCCAAGCTGCCAGGCCAGGAGGGTAGCATGCGGCCCCTCCCCAAGCTCCTCCAGACTGAAAAATCAGAGCCATGAAGTAGGGAATAGTTTTCGGAAAGGCCCTTCCTAGTTGGGGGAATCATTTCCCATTCCCAAAAATAGTCAGTCTTCTACCCTGGCCGGTGTGGCTCAGTTGGTGGAGCATTGTCCCATGCACCAAAAGGTCACCGGTTCAATTCCTGGTCAGGGCACATGCCCATGTAGAGACTGTACATGAGGCAGCTTGATAGATGTTTCTCTCCTCCCTAAAATTAATAAAAACTTAAAAAAAAATAAAAAAAAAAAGTCTCCTGCCCTAACCAGTTTGGCTCAGTGGATAGAGCATCGGCCTACGGACTGAAAGATCTCAGGTTCGATTCCAGTCAAGGGCATGGACCTGGATTTCGAGCACATCCCCAGTAGGAAGTGTGCAGGAGGTAACTAAACGATGTTTTTCTCTCATCGATGTTTCTAACTCTCTATCCCTCTCTCTTCCTCTTCCTCTCTGTAAAAAAAAAACAAAATATTTTTTTTAAAAATAAAAATGTCTCCTATCAGAGCCTGTCTGATCAAAAGAGCATTTGCCCTAGCCAGTTTGGCTCAGTGAATAGAGCATCAGCCTGCAGACTGAAAGGTCCCAGGTTCAAGTCCAGCAAGGGCACATGCCTGGGTTGCAGGCGCAATCTCCAGTAGGGAGTGTGCAGGAGGCAGTTGAGCAATAATTTTCTCTCATCATTGATGTTTCTCTCTCTCTCTCCCTCTCTCTCCCTCTCTTTCTCTCTCTCTCTCCCCCGCCCCTTCCTCTCTGAAATCAATAAAAAATATATTTTTAAAAAAGGAGAGCATTTGCCAGCTCCCAGAAAACTAAAGTCCGAATGCCAGCCCGTCCAGGCTCAGTACCTGTTCTTCTTCAATCCTGCGTTGTAGTGTTTCGATATAATGCTGGACGGCCATATAGATGAATCGGTACTGTGCTTCTGTCTGGACCATCCCTGACCTCTGGGATCGCACCATCTGAATTGTTTTGGGAACATCAATGTCACAGTCGACACCTACAAAGCAAACACCACGAAGCATCAGGAGAAAATGCAGAGCCAGAGTCAAGAGGTTAATGCACCACGTTCAGCAGGCTCAGACATGAAGCAAATTTAGCCTTTAATGTTCTGACCAAACACGTTCCAAGGGCTACAGCACTGGCCTCTGATCAATAGCAGTGACCCCACACAATCGATTACATGATGTGTCTGAGGTAGGGTTCCCCCACTTTTCCACCCCACTCCGTCAGCAAAACGTAAGTAGGAGCTGGATAGAGACCACCACTGCATATTCAACAAAAGATCTCAGCAGTGGGATCCACAGATTCTAGGCTTCATTTTATGCCAAATGCTCAAACAGCATCCCTTCTGTTCTCTGGCAAATATATTGAAGGTTGGAATCTTCAGCCCAGGTTTCTGTAAAAATTTTTAACATTCACATTTCCTTCCCCGGGCTATTTTCACTAGCACTTTCTGTCCATAAACTGAAAACAAAAACTGTAGCCTCATGCCTTCCGGACAACCTACCTTTCTCTCTGATGATGTCAATAAGGATATCAATCACGATGAACGTCCCTGTCCGGCCGATTCCAGCGCTGTGGGCAGAGGACAAGAAGCAATGAGAATGAAGTCATTTACGGAAGTCTTATACTCAAAACCAAGCTATTAATATGAACAGAACCAATATCTGCTCTTGGGAGTATTTACAAGATTGTCTATTTATATTGGGAAATATATTTGCTAAGAGCATGGGACTTTGGAGTGAGTCCAACCTGCACTCAGAGCCCGGCTTCTCCAGCTCAGTGTGCCTGGGGCAAAGTCTCTTAACGTCTCTGATCCTCAGTTTCCTCACCTGGGAAGTGGGGATAACAAACAGTACATACTTTATAGGGTTGTTGTGAGGATCAAATCTGTGTTGTGTATGAAAAACACTGGCCCCAGAGCTTTTAGAAAATTGAGTAGTTTCACGCACATCTACTTGCCCAACACAGGAGTGAGATTTAGGAAACCAAGCTTTCCCCAGAGTAACCGTGAGGCCCGAACTCAGGCACCAGCAGCCTGCAAACTCTGGGGCAGAGGCCACAGGACTGGCTTCCAGAGGCCTGGGTGAGCAGCGGTCCTAACCTTTTGAAGCAAACAAGTATATTGTTGGGGGAATATGTGTCATTTCTTGGTAGAATAGAATCACAATCAAAGAAATAAACCCTAAGTTATCCTATTAAAAAAGCAAACATTAGCAGACTAGGGGCTCCTTGAGAATAAAGATTGTGTTCCCTACCTTCGTCCTACCACCCACCGGTACCCGGCAATCTTGTAGGATCTACAAAAAATATATTTTGGGGTCAAAGTGTCCCTTAATGCAGTTTATCTATGCCTCAAAAAGAGATTGAATTTTTCCCACGGTTAGACAGCTGGGGGTGGGTAGGTAAAAAAAAGCCCTGGGCGTTAGGAGCTGGGACAGGCTGGGGACTAGGGGGGAGGGCTGGTCACCTGCAGTGCACCACCACGGGCCCCGCATCCATGATGCTCTCCTGCTTGTGGTGCACCTCCTCCAGGAAGTCCAGCACACCCCCGGGGTCACTGGGCACGCCGTGGTCAGGCCAGGTCCGAAAGTGGTATTGCCAGACCGTTCTCTCCGTATTCCCCTGGAGTAGAGCCAAGAAAAACCAGAAAAGAATTAAATAAATCAAGGGATTGCGGCATTGCCCGGTTTTGATCTTTCTCAGATCCCATGTGCGCCAGTTGCGCTGGTCAGCACGAAGCCCCTCCCACTCCATTTAAAGGCCCTCCTCAGTTTTCCAGATTGCTCCTTCTTTTGGATCGGGCTGAGCAATCCCAGGGTCAACTCCTGGCCTCGGTCACAGAACCCAGATGTCTAGTGCGGCAATCTGTCCTTGAGGAAACGCCAACCTAAATCAACAGCAGCGGGCATCCTCTCTGATCAGCCTCGTCCACGCACAGCTCAACGCAGGAGGCCACTGAGATCGCGGGGCCCCGGGGCTCTCCTCCCTAAGTCACTCGTTCCTCTTTGTCCTTTTGTACCCAGCCCTTCTCCATCCCCACCCCCCAGCCACACGTTTATTATAATATCATAATATTTTAATTTCTTCTGTTGAGTACAGAATAGACAAGAAGTCAGGCTTTGCAATCAGATGGCTGTTTTTAGGCCAAAATCCCAGCATGCACACTCACTGCAGCAAATGGCCATCTCTAAGCCTCCATTCCTCCCTTTGCAAATAGGAATAATAATCCCTCTCTCACCACACCACTGTGAGGATTAAACAGGAGCAATGAAACACAGCCACTGCTCTGCGGATGGAGGAGACTCAGCACGTGGGCTCCTCTGAGGACAGTGATCACTAACAAAGGTCAACCATGGACCCAAGACTGTGAAACACCCAAAAGCATCACGTGCGCGGTCCCCCCGGGTGAAGTCACTGAGCAGCACTATTCATCCTTACAGCTTCTTCTGGATCTGCAGACAATCCAAGCTAAGTGACATTTTAAAGGGGGATTTATAATATAAACAAGGACAGAGTAACTAGACCAGTGTCCACAATCAGAATCTGAACCACAATTAGGGTCTTTTCTTGAATTATGTGTATTTAATTTGCAGACATCACGAAAAATACTTTTGGATGCTAATGGTTAGCAAAAAATCAAGGGGTGACACAGTTGCAAGAAGGACATTTGAGGAATGGGAGAGACCAGCTCCCTATTCATCCGTGCTCCTTCTCCTTGATAAAGGTCCCTTAGGTCCCTGCCTCCACCTTCAGGCCTCAGCTCCAGTGACACTCCCGCAGGGAAGCCCTCCCCATGTACTCCATCTCAAGTGCCCACTCACTCTCTAGCATGCCATTCTCTGCCTTCGCAGTCGGCACAATCAGAAAGCTTAGTTGCTCATTTAAATTTTAAACTTCTGCCTCTAGACTCTGGGGGAGCAGACTGTGTCTTGTCTGCAATGTACCAGCAGTGCCTCGAGAGTACCTGGCACATAGACGGCATCCAATTAATGGCTGCTGAACCAGTAAGTGAATGAATATTGTAGCGGCATGACCCTGGGTTGCATACCATAAACGGTTCCCAAAGCCTCTAAAATACGACAATATACTTACTTGTCCAACTTTTGACAGTTTAAGTTCTCTTAATGTATAGTCATGAGCGGCACTTTCTTTGACGTTCCTAACACGCATGACCCCATATTCTTTCAGAGCAAACTCATCAGGCCAGTATTTGACACATTTACTCTGGAAGGGATCAGGAAAAAAAAAAAAAAAAGACAGTTAATATCTGTGAACCATCAGAAAGCAAATGTCTAAGTTTTGCTTAACGACCACTAATCTGGAGAATGGCCTTTCCATCCTGGAACTGATGGCTTTCCAAAGGACCAGAAAAAAGAGTTCAAATTAGGAAGCAGGGGCTTGGAGAACTGGGGAGGAGGGGAAGAAAAGGCTATGTGTGCAGAACTGTCCCATCCAACACTCAGGTCAAAGGATAGTCTATGCTTATTTAATTCTAAAGAATCTAAGATGTGCCCAGCTAGGGCAGCTTAGCGGTTGAATATCAACCTATGAACCAGGAGATCATGGTTCCATTCCCAGTTAGGTCATATGTCTGGGCTCAATCCCCAATGGGAGGCATGCAGGAGGCAGCCGATCAATGATTCTCTCGCATCATTGATGTTTCTCTTTCTCTCCCTCTCCCTTCCTCTCTGAAACCAATAAAAAAAATATATATTTTTAAAAAAGAAAGATGCAAAGAGAGGAAATGGCCAGGTTGAGGTGTTGTCTAGCAACCACTGAGATGTGGATTCTAGAGATCTGCCAGTTGATCTACAGGGAAGGCAAGCAAGATCTCTGGAGGTGGATGGGCTGCCCAACAAGGCAGCCCGTCTGGTTCATTTCCACCCCGGTGTAGGAGGGCCCTGCGCCTTAACTAACCCAAGTGTGAATGCCGCCAGCACAGCAAGGCAGCCTTTGAACCAGCTGCTTTTTCTATATCCAGACACGTCGCCTTCGCTTAACTGGGTGCCTGGGACCGCCAAGCGTGCAAGCTGCTGGCTTCGGGGCAGGCAGATGGGAAAATATAGCACCAAGAAAGCCATTCTTGCTGCCAAAGAGGAAGACACTCTGCTTCAGGAGCCCATGAGCGATGAATCTATATATATATGTGGTGACGTGCCCTGAGTAAAGAATGATGTTGTGTTTTGTTTTGTTTTTTGCTGGGCAGCGTCACCGATGCCACTTCCTTTCCACGACGGGACACAAATATCAGCAAAAGACCGTTTCCTTGTATTTTAGGAAGATGGAAAAATTCCCAGTTATAAAAATGGACGTGACAGAGCAGCTGCAGACTAGCCCCCGCAGTCAATGGTCAATTAAAGAAAAGAAAAACAATGTAGGAGGAACATTCAACAGAATTTAATGGATGGTGCCACTTTTTTGCTTGGCACGACTTGGGGTCATTGATTTATTATTGTTTTGAATTCGGCTTTCCCTCCAGTGTTTTATAGATCCAAATACCCTGTGACAGATTTAATACAATTTTGGCCCAAATGAACACCTTTAACATTAATTGTACTCAAGGCTGTTACTGGCTAATCAATTTGAGGACTGTTGCCCTCAAGAGAACACAAAATGAAATGGTCACTCTAAAAGCATTTTGGCTGACTTTAAACAGTCACTTCCCACTTTTCTAAACACTGATGTAAACCTTGACACAAACACTCTAAACTGCGAGGGCTAATACTTGAATTTTTAAATTCAGGCCCCGGGATCCGAAGGAATCCAGTCTGGCTTTTATTCTGTCCAGGGAGCAGGGAGTGGGATGATGCTGAGAGAGGCCCGTGGAGAGAATAAAAGCTCTCCTGTCATCCTCTCCACCCACCAAGTGAAGGGGAGAATGGGAAGGCAGGCGCGGGCTGGAAGAGGAAGTGAGGAGGAGGCAGTATCGGGCCCAGTGTCTGTTGTAGAAGCCTCTGGGAGCTCATCTGAAGGAGACAGTACTGATCCCTCTGAAGGGACATGAGCATCCTGTCTTTACACCCCACGTCTCTGAGAAACAGGTGGTCCCTGTAACTCCCCTCGGGCAACACATAGGACAAGTTCAACGGGGTTCCGCTTCCCCTTCCATACCCAGGGCAGGTGACACTCACCTGAAGCGGAAACTATGAAAACACCTTAACTCGTCCATTAATTCAAGAACAGCTAAGGTTACTGAGGAGACCTTTGTTTCAGAGACCAGATCAGGCCTCAGAGGACTTCAACCACTAGTACAACAATGAAAATCTTATCCCATCACACTGCCCTTCACAACGACAAGAAAATTACAGGAAGAGGGCTAAAATCCAAAATTGCCCATCTATCTTACATTTAACTTACAGGTATGACTGCTACATTCCATGCAGCTGTTATAGAAACCAAATCAAGTATGTCTAAAAAAAAAACCAACACTTTGTCTAGAGCACAAACACAAACACAGAACTTTTCCAAAGCTATGTGGACAGACTGGCTTTGGATAACACACAGCAGTCACTCAATAAGATCTGTCTGCTTCTCGGCAAGGGCGGAAGTTACAATTTCTAAACACCTGGAGTGTCGTGAAGATGTGGGGAGATGGCTACTAGGCATGCGTAGCTGGGGAGAGTGTGTACTGGGAAACCACTCTGGAAGGTGGTTTGGCAGAAACTACCTAAGTTTCAACATGCACACCCTCTGACCTAGCAATCCCTGACATCTATCCTAGAGAAACATTGCCACATAGACACAAAAGCAAGAATGAGACTGTTCACTTCCCTACTTAGAAAATTGAATATTTACATGCCCAGCACACGATGATTAAATAAATTATGATAAATATATACCATGAAATATCATGTAATTACTATGAGACAGAAAGAACGTGTATTTAGTGGAGGAAATACCAAGATGCACAATAAAGTTACAATATAAAAGCACTTTTTCATATAGTATAATATTTTTCAGAAAATAGTACTATACACTTCTATAGGTACACGCACGTATGTAAAGGCTATATATGTAAATGTAGGTATATAATGCCAATAGCAATGCCTTTAATACATACATATATGTAAACGCCAAGAAGAGTATAGAATAATACACATCACACAAGGTTTATGCTGGAGGAGGGGACTAAAGTGGATGGATGAGGGATGGTAATAAAGACAACTTTATCAATAACTGTGCTTGAACATTTATTTGAATGTATTGTTCAGATAATTCAAATTACTTTCTAAACGTTTAAAAGCCATGAACAGCAAGTTTGCGTGACCAGGGAAATCACGGTTGGTTTACTAGTTCTCTAATCACCTGAAGGCACTAGGCAGCCCTGCTTACACTCCCTTTCGGACCACTGTCTCTGGATATGCTGGAATGATGGCTGGGTTTACCCTCCCACCTTAAATAACTGAAAAGCGCTTTTTTCCCCACCGGAGTTAGGCTCGGCCTGCAGGTCTGTGGCAAGCCGCGGCCGTGGGTCTCTCCTCCGCAGGATAGGGTTTGTGAAAGTTATCAAGAACAAGGCCTACTTCAAGCGATACCAAGTGAAATTCAGAAGACGGCGAGAGGGTAAAACTGATTACTATGCCCGGAAACACTTGGTAATCCGGGATAAAAATAAGTACAACACACCTAAATACAGGATGATAGTTCGCATAACAAACAGAGATATCATCTGTCAGATCGCTTACGCCTGTATAGAAGGAGAGATGATAGTTTGTGCAGCTTATGCTCATGAACTCCCAAAGTATGGTGTGAAGGTTGGCCTGACAAATTATGCTGCAGCATATTGTACTGGCCTGCTGCTGGCCCGCAGGCTTCTCAATAGATTTGGCATGGACAAGATCTATGAAGGCCAGGTGGAGGTGACTGGAGATGAATACAACGTGGAAAGCATTGATGGTCGACCTGGTGCCTTCACCTGCTATTTGGATGCAGGGCTTGCCAGAACTACTACTGGAAATAATGTTTTTGGGACCCTACAGGGAGCTGTGGATGGAGATCTATCTATCCCTCACAGTACCAAACAATTCCCTGGTTACGATTCAGAAAGCAAAAAATTCAATGCTGAAGTACATCGGAAGCACATCATGGGTCAGAACGTTGCAGATTATATGCGTTATCTAATGGAAGAAGATGAAGATGCTTACAAGAAACAGTTCTCTCAATATATAAAGAACAACGTAACTCCAGACATCATGGAAGCTCATACTGCTATACGAGAGAATCCAGTCTATGAAAAGAAGCCTAAGAAAGAAGTTAAAAAGAAGAGATGGAACCGTCCCAAAATGTCTCTAGCCCAGAAGAAAGATCGGTAGCTCAGAAGAAAGCAAGCTTCCTCAGAGCTCAGGAACGGGCTGCTGAGAGCTAATAACCAAATCACAATTTTCTATGATTTTTCAGAGACAATAAACATATTAAGCAAAAACAAAAAACAAAAAAACTGAAAAGCCAGAAAAATGAAATAACGTGTAACAGGATTAGTAATAAGAACATTAAAAGTTATTATAAATGTATTCTATGTGTTCAAAGGTATAGGGGATGATGCACATGTGCAAAACACAGAAGATGTTAAAAAAGACTCTAATAAAACTTCTAGAGGTGAAACGGACAATCTCTGAATGAAAAATACACACCAAATAGTGCTAACGGATTACACTGCGGTGTTGGGGGGAAAACACCACACGTGTGAATCCACAGCTCCAAGAAGCTCAATGAGCCCCAAGCAAAAGAACCTAAAGAACACTATACCAAGTACGTCATCATCAAATGTCCTCACCATCCTTTTTTCCCCCCGAGGGTCAGTTAGCTTAACTTGTTTATTCAATTCTTAACCTGGTCAACCTGAAGTGAGCAACCACTTTAAAATGTTTTATCAGAAAAATATTTTATATACCTTTCCTCTCTCCACTTCTTTCGTAGTCATGACGATCACTCGGGAGTTCTCTTGAAACACCATGCGCCAAAAGTCATTCACCGTGTTCTGCAGACAGCCTTGTGTGGCGATGTAACTCTTTTTGGGCTTTGAGTTGTTGCACTTGGTTTCAAATTCAGGCTAGAAATGTAAGAAGAAAATCCGTCCAACATTTGAAAGTTGCTTTCAGGACAGAAGGATGTAAAATAAAAGACACTGTGAAGAGCTGTTTACCATGATAATGTTTGCATTGATGTAATCGGACACAGGCTCGTTGGGGTCACCGTCATTTAGAACAACCCTGGTATGATCAACTGGAAGAAAAAGACCACAGTCACAGAAGTGCTCAGACCTCTTTAGGACAAACCTGTTCAAATCCGTTCATCCTCAAAATAGTCCAAGCTGTGATAAAACCACATTAAAAAAATTAAATTCTGCCCTGGCTGGTTTGGCTCAGTGGATAGTGTTGGCCTGTGGACTGAAGAGTCCCGGGTTCAGTTCCAGTCAAGGGCACATGCCCGGTTGCAGGCTCATTCCCTAGTGGGGGGCGTGCAAGAGGCAGCCGCTCAATGATTCTCATCATTGATGTTCCTCTCTCTCTCTCCCTTCCTCCCTGAAATCAATAAAAGTATATTTTTTTAATTAAATCCTAAGTTAGCAATAGCAATAATCTGAGCACCACACTTTGCCTTTCTTTAGGAAGAACAAAGTCACAATGCCATTTTCCTGGTTTTGATAATGTCCTATGGACTTATAGGATTTATCACTGCAAATGCCATTACTCGTCCAAGGCCTCCATCCTTCTGGGCCTCCTTTTCCCATGGTTCCCCAGGGCTCCATCTAGCAGCATCTGGGTGCTGATGGAGCTGCACCTTCTGAGGCAAGTGTAGGTGTGCACCCAAATCTCCAGTCACACGAGCTAGTGGCATCGGGGGGCAGAGCGAAGAGCCCTTGAAGGAGCTTATCTGTCCCCGGTGAGGGAGCAGAGCCTCAGAAAGGAGGTGTGGCTCCCAGGACCCAGGAGGCAGATACCACAGAGCAAGGACACAAGTCCAGGACCCCGGAGTGCTTCTGGCCTAACACTGGGAGATCATCGCTCTTAGGCAAACAGAATTCATCAACAGAAGAAAACAACCTCCTCAAAGCAATTTCACTCAGTAATCAGCATGCAGGCTCTCTGTGAATGAGGCCAGCAGTCCCTGTCGCAGTGGGTTATTTTGGAAACGGCTCACAATTAAAAGAGGCGAAGGCCTTGGATCTGCCGCAAATCAAAATCTGCGAGAGTGACGGTGCCTGAGCAGAATACTGATACTTACAGGGCAGGATGTTTTTATATCTGTTTTTGTTCTTATTTTCTTGCCTCTGGCCCTCTTTTCGGCTATAGAGAAGTTTGCACTCCTGTTGTTGTAGTGTCTAGAAAGAAGCAAAAGTAAATATTATTATGTATCAAAAGCTTAAAAAAAAAAGACTGGCATCATTTCTGCTTTAAGGACTTTATCTCAGGAAATGGTCAGTCCTGAGCAATAACTCTAAGAATGCTCATGTTAACATTGTACCAACCGTGGCAAAAACACCAGAAACAACATAAATGGCCAATGGAATCAGCTGCCTAAATAACACTATTGTTCCTTCATACCAAATAACATTCTGCAGCCATTTAAAAGATGTTCTTGGCCGAAACCGGTTTGGCTCAGTGGATAGAGCATCAACCTGCGGACTGAAAGGTCCCAGGTTCGATTCCGGTCAAGGGCATGTACCTTGGTTATGGGCACATCCCATGTTTCTCTCTCATCGATGTTTCTAACTCTCTATCCCTCTCTCTTCTTCTCTGTGAAAAAAATCAATAAAATATATATTTTTTAAAAAGATGTTCTTGGAGACTATTTAATGCCTTGGAGAAAGAATCAGAATAAATGTTAAGTGAAAAGAAGCTCCACCTTGCTAAGCAGTGTATGACGGAAGCCATGTGTTTCGCACTCACATGTAAGATATGGCAGAAGGATTACACCAAACAGTAATGGGGTTCTGGGCCAGATTAGTAGGATTATGAAGGCCCTTTCTCCTACTCCTCCTTCTCCTTCTCTATTTTCTCACCTTTCTTTTCTTAAATTTTCTACAATGAATAAGTATTTATAAAAGAGAAGCCTTTTAAAATAGAGGGTAAAGTGACGAATATATGCTGACAGAAGATTAGACTTGGGTGGTGAGCACACAGCAGAACATACAGATGCCATATTATAAAGTTGTAGGTCTGAAATTCATGTTAGTAGCCAGTGCTACCCCAATGAATTTAATTTTTTTTAAAGAATGAAAGCCAGTGGGTATTGGTGTACAGGATACAATAACAGATGTGACTCATGTTTTCAAGGAGTTGATGGCCCGTCTCTTTTTACCATTGTTTAATTCAAAGCAACTCTTACAGATGTCAGTTGTCAAATGTAAATACCAGAGAACAGAAGTGGTTTGGGGACTGGGCCACAGGCATGTGAGCTTTGTGAGCAAGGCTTTGAAGACCTCCTTTGTCAGAGCCACAGGCAGCCAGCCTGTGACATCCCCCGTGGCCTTCTGAGCAGGAGAGTGAAGACGAGGTCCTGAGCCAGCGGTCAGGAAGGGCACCTGTGCAGGGGAGGGAGGGGGAGACTGCCATGGGAAAGCAAGGGACTAACACAGGCAGCCACAGTGGGACTGGGACTGGCCCCATCTGAAGAGGGAATGAGCCCTAGCTGGTTTGGCTCAGTGGATAGAGCGTCGGTCTGAGGACTGAAGGGTGCTGGTTTCAATTCTGCTCAAGGGCACATGCCTAGGTTCAGGCCCAATCCCAGGTAGAGAGTGTGCAGGAAGCAGCCAATCAATGATTCTTTTTCATCACTGATGTTTCTATCTCTCTCCCTCTCACTTCCTCTCTGAAATCAATAAAAATATTTTTAAAAGAAGAAGAAGGAGGAGGAGGAGGAGGAGGAGGAAGAGGAGGGATATGGGGAAGTGGGAAGGAGCAGCAGCTGCAGGACAGAAAGGAGGGTGGATAAGCCAGGCTGAAGCATTTTCAAGGGGTAGGTTTCATTCTCAAAATGACAGAAAGTGCCTCTTTAGACGACCGTTAGTTTCAAACAAACCTCATCTGTAACAGGAAATCATGAAAGTGAAAGGGCAAATGAAGAACGTGAAAGGCAGACTAAAAAGAGGAAAAATATATAATTTATATATATTGTGTCTATACATACTTTATGTCATGTATATATAGTTTTATACATATTATAAATATATATACTTTATATATACTAGTATAAATAAATGCCAAAATGATTACCCCTTAAAGATTTCTACAAAAGTGCCAGAGTCAACATTTCATAACACAGCAGCCCTGTTATTTCCATCTCATTTGTCAGAATTTCACAGACAGGTATGAAAGTCAGGAGTTTAAATTGCTATTTAACTCTCACTTTCAAAATGCAATATTCAGCCGTGACACAGGGCAAATAACAAAAGCGTTTAGCTAGCTGGAACCTGGGCAGAAGTAAAATACAATGTGTGCAGAACTGTGACAACGTAACGGCTATTCAAAAATGTTAAATGAGTGCAGATTAATTAAAGCCATCTGCCGTCTTCAAGCCAGCATTTCCTCTGAACAGTGAGCCGGTCTTAGTGAGCAGTATTCACTGTGTTATTAGGAAGAAGGTTCAACCTTGATTTTTGCACATTAAGGTAAAGTTCAAAAAATCCAACTATGAACTGACTCAATCGCTTAAAAATTAACAAAGAAAAACATCTCCAACAAAAGCTAAATGAATTTGACAGTAAAGCAAAGACTATTCTCTTAGGAAACAAACTCCACGTGACATGTGACATGTCACTGGCAGGAGGGCATCACTGGTGGAGGGAGCGTGGCCAGAGCAATCTCTACAAAAGCGGCGTTTCATCCAGGCCCTCCCTGTTTAATCACCTTCCCTCTCCCCCTCTGCCCTCAAGATCAAGTCCAAGCTTTTCAGAACAACTCATGAGGCCTTTTTTCTAAGCCTCCAGAGGCCTGCCTCTAACCTGGGCTTTTACACTTCACCAAGTTACTAGGCCATCTGAATCTCAGTTTCCTCAAGTGTAAAGTGAGGATAATCCTAATTCCCTACCCCAGACAGCTGGTGTAAGAGTTACATGAGATTACTTTGTGAAGTACAAAATGGGCCTGGCATACAAGGAAGCACATAAGCCTGGTCAGTGTGGCTCAGTGGTTGAGCATCAGCCCATGAAGCAAGAAGTCAAGGTTCAATTCCCAGTCTGGGCACATGTCCGGGTTGCAGGCTCAATCTCCAGTAGGGGGGCATGCAGGAGGCAGCCGATGGATGGTGTTTCTATCTCATCAATATTTCTATCTCTGTCTGAAGACCCAAAGGGTCCAGGATTTGATTCTAGTCAAGGGCACATACCTCAGTTGAAGGCTCCTCCCCAGCCCAGGGCCCTGGTCGGGGCTCGTGCAGAAGGCTACCAATCGATGTGTTTCTCTCACATCAATATCTCTGTCTTTCCCTCTCTTCCACTCTCTCTAAAAATCAATGGAGCCCTGGCCAGTTTGACTCTCATAGAGCATCAGCCTGTGGACTGAAGGGTCCTGGGTTCGATTCCAGTGAGGGGCATATGCCCGGGTTGCGAGCTTGATCCCCAGTGGTGGTGTGTGGAAGGCAGCCAGTCAATGATTCTTTCTCATCATTGATGTTTCGCTCTCTCTCTACCTCTCCCTTCCTCTCTGAGGTCAATAAAAATACTTTTAAATAAAATAAATCAATGGGTGAGAAAAGCAGCAGCAGCAGCAGCAGCAGCAGCAGCAGAAGAAGAAGAAGAAGAAGAAGAAGAAGAAGAAGAAGAAGAAGAAGAAGAAGAAGAAGAAAGGACAGGAAGAGCCCCTGTCTGGGGCTACCTGGTAGCTGTGTGATTAATAACGACTAGCAATGTGTCTCCCCAGCTCATTCCTCGGTGCCCATTAGCCCATTCTCATCTGTGCCCTTGCCTAACACATTTCATTCCCCGCGGAGAAAGGCTGTCATCCATCTACTGCAAGGCTGACAATAAAAAGAACTCTGAAGTTGTGAGTTTCCATTCTCTGCTCTCAGAGGCTCCAGCCATGAGATCATCAGCAACCCCTGCAGAGTTGGATGAGGATAATCTTAATTCCCTACCCCATACAGCTGAGGGCTGGAAGAGGCAGAAGAGGGTCCAGCAAGCCCTGTCCCCAGGGGGTTACATTCCTTTCCTGGTTTATCTTCCACAACCTGCTTCCCACCAGCAGCCCCTGGGGCACCAAAAGCTGAGAAGTACCCATCAAGCTAAATGTCACTGGGTCTCTATCAGAGATAACTGGGATGGGAGAAAAAAAAAGCCTGTGGAAAACTGAAACACAAGCTCCAGACACCTTGTTTTCCCCAGCAATACAGCTCAGGGGTTCGCACCAAAGATGAACCCTCAAAAGGGCCCAAGGCTAGTTCCAGGCACCTGATTGCATGAGTCAAAGCAGATCTGGAGACAATGGATTGCATCAAACTATTACACTTTAAAAGGCATCAAGAGAACATCAAGACCCTAATCCGGTTGTACATGTGGGAGATCCCAGCAGCACGACTGCCTGTGGATGGGAAAAGTACTCACTGTGCAGAACCACCCCCTACATTTAGAGCCAGTGAACAGCCCTGCTCCCCACATGTCAGTAGCGGCTCCCCCAGTCACTGCAATGACCAAAAAGAGACCCCTACAGTCCTGGCCGGTTTGGCTTACTGGATAGAGCGTTGGCCTGCAGAATGAAGGGGCCCAGGTTCGATTCATGTCAAGGGCACATGCCTTGGTTGCAAATTCAATCCTCAGCCCTGGTTGGGGCTTCTGTGGGAGGCAACTAGTCAATGTATTTCTCTCACATCGATGTTCTCTTTCTGTCTCTCTTCCCCACCCCACCCCATCACCACCCTTCTACTCTCTCTAAAAATCAATGGGAAATATCCTTGGATGAGGATTAACAAAAATAAAATAAAAATACGTAAGTAAAGAGGGAAAGCGGAAAAAGAAGAAATGGAGGGCACAGCACAAGCACACTCGATGAGGAAGACAGGACAATGGCAGGGCACAAAGTAGGAGGTCCTTTAAAGGCAAAGGAAGAAAGCGGAGATGTGAAAGCACCTTTGCTCTTAAATTCTTTGCAAAGAAGCCAAGGACAGCAAATAAAAACAACTCTAAAGAGAAAAACATGACCCTGGAGGGGCTGAGAGCAGAGAGAGAGCAAAGGAAATCCAGGCGTTTCTGTAGAATGAAGCTTTTGGAATAAGCCCTCTAACCACTGCATCATTCTCCCACAGGAAGGCAGCAGCCCTCCTCTGAGCTAGGGGAGCCGTCTAGATGGAAAATCCGGGCACAGCTCACGCCCGCCTCCTGGAGGCTGCAGCCTGGCTGGGACTGCTGTTCACTGGGGCACCGATTAGTCACAAGGGAAAGATTTTTCCACTAGGAATCACCAGAAAGAATGATTATTCTAGACACAGCTTCGGGGTGCACGTAAAGTCTTGTTTCCATAAAACCTAACCATCTCGAAGGAGAAATTACAACTCCCCTGAGCAGGACGCAACCACTTTTTTAAAAAAAAAAATCAAACTGGACTGTGAGCTCGGAGACAGGCGCGAGCTCCCCTCCTGGAGACGCACCGGCCGGCTGCGCTGCTGGCAGAATGAGGACATCGGTGTGGCTGTCAGTGAAATGACTGTAATGCCTGTGCAGACTGAAACAGCTTCGGACCATGACAGAGGAGGCGGGCTTGCATAACCCAGAGAAGGCTGGGCTTTAAAGACAAATCAAATTGCTAACGAAACAAGCTTTTAAAGTGTGTGTGTGTGGGGGGGGGGGGGGGGAGGATGGGAGGAACAACACTTAAAAAGTATTGTGTGGAGTTTGTATGTGTGTGTATTGTGTATGTTATTTTTTTTAGATTTTTTTTTAAAAATATTTTTATTGATTTCAGAGAGAGAGAGAAACAAACATCAATGATGAGAGAGAATCATTGATCAGCTACCTCCTACATGCCCCACCCTGGGGACCGAGCCCACAACCGGGTATGTGCCCTGACCAGGACTCGAACCATGACCTCTTGGATCACAGGTTGATGCTCAACCACTGAGCCATACTGACTGGTCCTAAATATGTTTTTATTGATTTGAGAGAGAGGGGGAGAAAGAGAGAAACATCGATGTAGAGAGGAACATCTATCAGCTGCCTCCCGCACACATGCACCCCAACCAGGGACCAAGCCCAAAACCCAGGTTTGTGTCCCAAACAGAAATTGAACTGGCAATCTTTCAAAGTATGGAGCAATGCTCAACCAACTCAGCACTCCAGCTGAGGCTATACAAATCTATTTCATATACATTCAAAAATGTTTCATAATTAAGGGGGAGAAAAAGCACTTCCCAATTCAAACAAACTACGTGTGTGTGTGTGTGTGTGTGTGTGTGTGTGTGTAGCAAGAAATGTAAATAAATAATAGCCGATAGGTATTAATATTAAGGAATTACTATTAATAGTTTTGGATGTGATGATATTCTGGTTATAATTTTTTTTTAAGTTTAAGATGAAATGATATCAGGAATTTGCAATAACCAGGGCTGGGGGAGTGAACGGTGTTATTAAAAAAGATTAGCAATTGCCCTGGCTGGTGTTGCTCAGTTGGGTGGGCATCATTCTATGCACCCACAGATTGCTGGCTCCATTCCCTGTCAGTGCACACACTCAATCCCCGGTAGGGGGCGTGGAGGAGGCAGCCAATAGATGCTTCTCTCTCACATTCATGTTTCTCTCTCACATAGATGTTTCTTTCTTTCTCTCTCTTTCTCTCTCTCTCTCTCTCTCTCTCTCTCTCTCTCTCTCTCTTCTTCTTCTTCTCCTCTCTCTAAAAACCAATGTTTAAAAATCTTTAAGAAAAAAAAGACTGGCAATTGTTAATGCTAGGCGATTAGTATATTGCTGTGTTACACTATTCCTCTGCTTTTGCATATATTTGAAATTTACATAATAAAGGCTTTTGAAAAGTTGTTCATTCAAATTCTGATGTAAGGTTTCTAAAATTTTTGTAGTTATCCATCTTATTTCATGAGGCTTTAGAGACACTAAATGAAATGAAGTAAATGTAATTAGATGAATGTTGAAATGCTGTCTTTTATTATGGAGGTTGGCAGGGCAGAATAATGAAAAGAGCGAGCTCAATATTCTACAATTCTAACTTATTAAGTTTATAATCACTTCTCCAGTGACGCTTTTCATCACTGTCTTCCTTCTCTCAGCTCCTTAAAGACAGCGGTCCTGACAACCTTGCCTGCCATAGTCTCCTCAGTGACTAAGCCAATGTCTGGTGGAAAAGAAAAGACTTGAGTTCAAGTCTCTGTTGAACAAGAACTTGAGTGTTTTATTCTGTACCCACCCTCCATGCCTCCATTCCATCAATATCCATGGGAAGACTATTTACTTAACCTCCCTGAGCCTCAGGCTCCTCGTCTGTAAAACAAAAATATCTCAACAAGTTGATCTTTATTTGGCCATTCATTCATTCATTCATTCCACAAATATTTGTAAGTTCTAAAAGTCCTACAAAAGTATGGAACAATGGACTATATGAAGTGTCTGCTGTGTGCCAGGCAGTGTGACACGCACTAAAGATAACTCTGAAGGTGAATATGGCACAATCCTTGACTTTGAGGAAGTGTTCTGTCAAGCGGATGAGAAGAGAGAGGTTGAGATGACAACAGGAACGGGTAAGTGACGTACCAAAGTACAACAGGAACACTGCGCATTCCCACTGGGGAACATTCTCCTTCCCGAGTTGGTTTAAGGAAAGAAATCAGCTCACTTCACTTCCTACCCTTAAAATGTCACACCCAAATGAAAGCTAACATGAGGTATTTATTTCTCTTATTTGGTCACTGCACTGAGGCTACAGAATCTTTCTGAAGACCCCAGCCAATGCTGTCAGATCTCTTTGTCTGTCAGAATTTCTGCCAGCAAACCAAAGGAGGCAAATAGAGCTACTGGCCCGTCCATTTCATATGAACTGCCCCTCCCCAGAACACAATACCCTTCTGTTTCAAAGAAGCCCCTAGCAGCTCAATCCATGTCAATCAATGGCCGAACGAGGTCATGGATTCATGTCTTTCAGATCCAACTGCAAACACAAGACCAACTTCTTGTCTACCAAAAATAGGACTCATTCACTCACGTTAAAAATCTATTTTCTTAATAACTTACCTCAAATTCTTCCCAGAAGCCTTGTTTGACTTTATCTGTGGTCTCTGCCAATTTGCTTAGTTCTCGAACCCGGCTCTCTATTTCAGCAGCATTGATACGAGTTGTGTTGAGGGGCTAATCAAATTCAGCCGTTGGTGTGAAATGAAGAAAGTATTACAGAAAAAAAGTGTTAATGCAAAAAGAAACAAAACATACAGAGAGGTCTGTTTTGGTATTCATGAAGGCAAGGACAGGAAGTTCACAGGACATTGTAATTCTCAAGCATTTTCAAATACAGTTTCACTTTCTTTTCTGTTCTGTCAGGAAATAACTGTTTCTCTAATCTCCACACGCACTTGACTCTGCTGGTATAAATTCAATCTGCTTTGACCAAAATATTAGAGAGGTAAAATAATTTGCCATTAAATGATAAGATTGAACTTTGAAATAGCAGTAACTTCAAAATGACTATGCACCTAGAGTGAAAGGCCTTGTGGGGTACATATGGAGATAGTCATGGAAATGATGTATTTGGAATGTCTTCCCAAATACCTCAGAAGGAGGGCCATGAGTGGAGTAAAAAATGAAGTGGGATTTGATGCGATGATCATAACTGCAGCTGGGTGATGGGCACAGAGAGGTTTGGGATACTATTCTACTTCTGCATATTTGGAACATCCTACATTAGGACTTTTCAGCTCGGTCAGGAGATGGCACTTTAGCTTTCTAACACGCTCACCTGCTTGAGTTGTAGAACTGTGCCCAGTGTTTCCACCATGGGATTCTTCTTATAATGCTCCACGAGATCGGTCAAAGAGTCAAACCGCTCTCCTCCACCAACATCATATTTTAGTTCCTTGCAACACAAAAAAAAATGATGTTTATTACCTCTACATTAAATTACTGTTTTCCCAACTGAAGGCCAAAGAGGAACTCCCCACGACTCCCACCCCGACCCCCCAGTAATGGAAAGATCAGACAACTGGGTAACAGCGAGGATAGGACACGACAAGAAGGATGAAAATTGAATGACTGACCAAGAGTTTACTGCGAGGTGTGAAAGCAATAAGTAAGTATCCAACATCAAGTAAGCCACAAGAAAGTTTCTCCTTCATAAGTTAACTAAATAGTGACTTTTTTATGTTTTCATTGATTTCGGAGAGAGAGGAAGAGAGAGATAGAAACATCAATGATGAGAGAGAATCATTGACTGGCTGCCCCCTGGGGACCAGTACTCAACCACTGAGCCACACCGGCTGGGCTAACTAGTGTTAAAAGGTGAAAAACAGTATTCTTTACTCTCTACTTATACACTAGCCTGCTGAATAGAAAGTAAATAACTATTTCTCTCTGAAATACAACAAACTCCAAGGCTAGTGGAGATATAACTTAAATTGCCAGGGAGAGACTGGAAATAAATGATTTAGTAAAGTTTGAAATAAAAAATTATAATTACGCCGAGACCGGTTTGGCTCAATGGATAGAGCTTCGGCTTGGGGACTGAAAGGTCCCTGGTTCGATTCCGATCAAGGGCATGTACCTCGGTTGCGGGCATATCCCCAGTAGGGGGTGTGCAAGAAGCAGCTGATCGATGACTCTCTCTCATCGATGTTTCTAACTCTATCTCTCTCCCTTCCTCTCTGTACAAAATCAATAAAAATATATTTAAAAAAAAAAAATTATAATTACTAAAAGTGCAGAAGCCGCCGAAGCCGGTTTGGCTCAGTGGTAGAGCGTCAGTCTGAGGACTGAAAGGTCCCAGGTTCGATTCCGGTCAAGGGCATGTACCTTGGTTGCTGGCACATCCCCGGTAGGGGGTGTGCAAGAGGCAGCTGGTCGATGTTTCTCTCTCATCTACATTTCTAGCTCTCTCCCTTTCTCTCTGTTAAAAATCAATAAAATATATTTTAAAAATAAATAAATAAAAGTGTAGAAGCCCTTGATTAAGTGAGCAAGAAAATCTGGCTTTGGAAGTAATGGTATCTGTTTTCTCCAAGTAGAACAATCACCGAAGACGAGAGTTGGCAAACAGACCCAAGTTCAACTGAGGCTTTACCTGACAGCGGATCATGACGTGGGTCACTTTGGACTTGCCGTCATTGCTCTCCCCCTTGTCATCACCTGTTCGGACCGAGAGAACAAAATCTCCAGGGTGGCTCTGGCTCTCTCGTACCAGAAAGCTACCGTGTTTTCCTTTCTCAGTTAATAACTTCTCTGCTTCTTTCCCGGAGAGGTGTCCATGAAACCACCTAAATATTTTAAAATTAAAATAAATTGAGTTTTGCCATGAAATCACAAGCATTGTAATTCTCAACTTTCACAAAACTACCATATATAGTCAGCTCTCCTAAACACAATTTAAAAACAAACACATTTTTTTCCCCCCAAGAGATGGAACGATACTATGTAAAGACAGAATTTGCAATCCAACAGGCAGGAAGAATGACAAAGCTGTCAAGAATGACCATTAGCCCAGCCAGCATGGCTCAGCGGTTGAGCATCCACCTATGAACCAGGAAGTCATGGCTTGATTCCCAGTCAGGGCACATGCCTCGGTTGTGAGCTCCATCCCTGGTGGGAAGTATGTGGGAAGCAGCCGATCAATGATTCTCTTTCATCATTCATGTTTCTCTTTTTTTCCCTCTCTCTCTTTCTCTCTCTCTCTCTTTCTCTCCTACCTCTCTGAAATCCATAAAAATACATAATTTTAAAAAGGAATGACCATTAAACTTCTTCAATGAGCCCTCAGCCATTTGACGATAAATGTCCTCAACCTTTCCTTTCTCTTTTACATCTCCCACCTTTTAGAAATATATTTTGTCTGTTCTCCATAGCCATCATTAAAAGGACCAACTAGTTAATCACAGTCTTTTAGAGAAATTATAATACAAAGTTATAGTAGAGACAGAGAATGATATGTTTGCCCACAGAAAAAGAATTGTATAAAAAAATGAAAAATAAATTTTTAGATAAAAAATAAAATAAATGTTTGGTATATGAACAGTATGCAAAACAAAACAAAAAAAACAACAACTTAATTTTAAGTTCATTCAAGCATTTCAAATTTTTCCATATTTACAACCTATACTTGCACAACCTCCGAGTTTGCTAGCAAAATCTTTGGCTTGTATGCTGGGTTGTCATTTCAAACTGTAACGCATATAAGGGGTAAGGGGGTCTTGTTTAAAAATGTGAAGTCCTATTATTGCTCACAACTGGAGATACCAGCGCACTGGTACCTGCATTTGCAGCCAGCACACCAGAGTCCTAACATAGGCCGTTTGAGGACAGACGCTGAGATACTACAGAAAACCTGAATATGGTCATGTTTACAAGCTGGCTTTTTTCCCTCAGGATCTTGGGAAGAAAACAAGTACTAATCCAGCAGATGATGCTAATGGCTCATCATTAAAGGAATATACTTTGAGCTATTTTTCATCCACCCTCAACTGAACAGAGTAAAATTTAGAGGTATACTGCACAGGATTGGTGGGCAGCCTTTTGCTGAAAGCTACAGTCACAGCTGGAGAAACAAATTATCATCACATAATAGCATTGACATGAAGGTACAGGTCGAAGATACAAAATACACAAATCTAATTAAGAGACCCTGAATTTGTACTGAGCCAAAGGAGATGGGAATGTAGAAAACCAATAAAATCAATACAAATTAAGTCAAGCCCCAGTTTACATCAGCCCAGTTCCAACACAGCAGCGGGGAGAGGGGAAGAGCTCTGGAATAATACATTCCCGCTAAGCAAGGTCATTCTCAAACACCTGTGGTGCAACAGGAAGGAGCTGCTGAGAAATCGGACCCTCGGAGTTCTCAGCTTTCCCACTTCTGAGCTTAAACTGACATCTGTTGGTGGCAATGCTGCATGACCGGTCAGCAGCTACTACCGAAAACTGCTATGACTTTGGTGTCACCATTATTGTTTGTTTTCCTCTCATAACTCTCAAAGATGATCAGTTCCATAATCTTAAAATTACTGCACGTACTAAGAATACACAGGAATAGCCCGAGCCCCTTGGAATGAGTGTAAGTCACAGTGACTGAAGCTTTGGCAAGAAAAGGGTACTCCGAAGATAATGTGATCCCATTATTCTTACTTTAATAAAATTAAAAGATTGCAGCTTGGGCTAAAAAAGGCAAAGGGATTAATTAAGATGTACAAATTCGCCCTAGCCAGTCTGGCTCAGTGGATAGAGCATCTGCCCACACTCTGAAGGGTCTCGGGTTCGGTTCCAGTCAAGGGCACGTATCTTGGTTGCAGGCTTGATCCCCGTCCTGATCAGGTGGCGGGGTGTGGGCGTGCAGGAAGCAACTAATCAATGTGTCTCTCTCACATACATGTTTTCCTTCTCTCAGTCTCTCCCACTCCCTTCCATTTCCCCCCAAAAAATCAATGGAAAAATATCCTCAGGTAAGGATTAACACACAAACAAACAAAACAAAAGATATGCAAATTGGCAGGTGCAAAATAGTCACAGGATGTCAAGTACAACTTAGGAAATATAGTCAATAATATTGTAATAATTATATATGGTGTCAGGTGGATGCAAGACTTATCAGGGGATCACTTCACAAGTTATGTGAATATCTAACCATGACACTGTAAACCTGGAACTAATATAATATTGAATGTCAACTGTAATTGAAAATTTTTTTGAAATTTTTAAAATCAGACTGCAGCTTGAGAAATAGGTACAAGCCAAACCCCCATAATGTATTCGCATAACACCTTTGGTGCAGAGGAGACGCAGATACTGCAGTTACTAAGATGTCACTGACCTTTCAGAGGTAGGATCTGCACAGTTCAGAGGATATTTGAGCTCAATAACATCTCCATTCTTCTCTTTTAATTGCCCATGATGCTCCATATAATACTGAACCAACTCAGCCAGAGTAGCGAACTTCTCCCCTCCGTACAGGTCATAGTAGTCACCAGTGTTCTGGATCTTGATGTGGGTGACAGCTCCATTTCTTCTAAAATAGTCCAGCAGAAAGAGGGGGAAATAAATAAAACACTGCACTAGTAACAACAGATCTCATGTTCATCACTAGATTTCATCTAAACTTTAGAACAAACCCATGGAACTATTCCGCGTAAGCAATGCCATGACTGAAATAACCACACAGTCCATCACTTCAAAACAAAGGGCTCTGTTTATTGGTTTCTTCCCTTATACAGCCCCTACTTTGAAAGTCTGACCTATCCAGTTGTATATTTTTTTTAATATATTTTATTGATTTTTTTACAGAGAGGAAGAGAGAGGGATAGAGAGTTAGAAACATCGATGAGAGAGAATCATCCATCAGCTGCCTCTTGCACACCCCCTACTGGGGATGTGCCCACAACCAAGGTATGTGCCCTTGACCAGAAATGAACCCTTCAGTTCACAGGCTGACGCTCTATCCACTGAGCCAAACCGGTTTTGGCTCCAGTTGTATATTTTAAATGACTTTCTTTTCATCATTAATCGAGACACAGGATTAAAAGTTAAACAAATATACATCTACTGTGCAACCCAGTAAATCTAATCCTAAATATCTTGCCCAAAAGAAATGAAACTGTATGGCTACCAAATGACTTATATAAGAATATTCGGCCGAAACCGGTTTGGCTCAGTGGATAGAGCATCGGCCAGCAGATTGAAGGGTCCCAGGTTCGATTCTGGTCAAGGGCATGTATCTTGGTTGCGGGCACATCCCCAGTAGGGGGTGTGTAGGAGGCAGCTGACTGATATTTCTCATTTATGTTTCTAACTCTCTATCCCTCTCTCTTCCTCTCTGTAAAAAATCAATAAAATATACATATTTTTTAAGTTGCAGAATAATACATATGTTATAAAGCCATGGATGTGAATTCTGAACACACAGACACACACACACACACACACACACACACACACACACAAACTTGACCTTGCTCACACACAGTACAAATGCAGTACAAGGATAAAAGCATGACCAGGAAGGATATATGCCAACCTCTCGATGGCGGTTTCCTCTGGGGAGAGAGGAAGGGGAATGGGACTGGGCAGGGGAACGCACAGAACCACAATTTCCTCAGTGATATTTTATTTCTTAAAAAGGACAAATGGCCCTGGCCGGTTTGACTCAACAGATAGAGCATTGAGCTGAGGACTGAACGATCCCAGGTTCGATTCTGATCAAGGGCATGCACCTTGGTTGCAGGCACATTCCCAGTAGGGAGTGTGCAGGAGGCAGCTGATCCATGTTTCTCTCTATCCCTCTCCCTTCCTCTCTATAAAAAAAAAAATCAATAAAAAAAAAATATTTTTTAAAAATGAAACTCTTGTCAGGACCGGTTTGGCTCAGTGGATAGAGCGTCTGCCTGCAAACTGAAGGGTCCCTGGTTCAATTCCGGTCAAGGCATGTACCTTGGCTGCAGGTACATCCCCTGTGGGGGATGTGCAGGAGGAGCTGATTGATGTTTCTCTCTCATGGATGTTTCTAACTTTCTATCTCTCTCCCTTCCTCTCTGTAAAAAATCAATAAAATATATATATATTTTTAAAATGAAACTCTTTAGAAATATTTTTCTCACCAAGAGATCAATGGAAGGAAAGGAAAAATGTAGGGATCCAGGTTCAGGATGAGTGGCTTCAAGGGTGGCTTAGGAACTGGCTATACTCTGCTCCAGCTCATCCTCGGTGGTCTCTGAGGATGTCTACCATCACCCACTTCCGCTGAATGCTCAAGCCCCTCACTCTCAGGAGGCAGAGCTTGAGTCAGGTCTGATCGGTGAGCCAGGCCTCACCAAGGGCAGCAGGCAGGCCTTCACACTCTACACAAGGGCAGCAAGTGTCCACCCGGGGTTTCAACATTTTCCTATCTGGAAACCACTGTCGGGAGTCTCTCCTTTTCCTCCCACTTACCTAACGGAAAGTGTGAAGTCTCCTGGGTTACTTTTGCTGGGCCTTGCCAAAAAACTGCCATCAACTCCTCTTGTCAGCAGTAGGTTTTCGGCCTCCACGCCGGTGATATTCGGGTGAAACCATCTAGAGAGAGAAAGAGAGAGCAATGAACAACAGGATTCTGCCAGCGCTACGTTCCACACCATCACAGCTGAAGTGCCTATGAGTGGCTAATAAAAATACAAATCAAACCTTCTCTGCCCCTTCCCCCTCTTCTCCTTGGTCACTGCCTCTCCTCGCCGTCCCCTTGGTAGGGCCTGGGATCCTACTAGCCCTACATATTAAACCAGTATTAAACCAGTCACTTGATAGGTCAAGATCAAAGTGACAGTCCACCTGGTCAGGAGACTGAACACATGGAGTGGAACTGAACAAGTAAGTACTGAGTCACACCAGTCAGGGCCAACCATCCACGCAAGAATCATCAATGGACGTTAACATAAACGGTGTACATGTCAGGAAAGACAGAATATTTATTGCAATGCCCACAAAATGCTTGCTAATTACATGTTAATTGACAAGAAAAATATACTAAAGAACTTCACAATAGAGAACTTGAAGATACTATCTTAATCAACTGGTAAAAGTTAGTATGACCAGTTATGACATCTATCTCTGTGACCTCGGCAAGTTCTTTACCTCAGATTCCTCATCTGCAAAATGGAAATGATAGTTCTTGGTCCTTTTTAAAAAAAAAAAAATGTTTTTATTGATCTTAGAGAGGAAGGGAGAGGGAAAGAGAGTGAAATATCAATGTGAAAGAGAAATGTGGATCGGCTGCCTCCTACACACCACTTACCAGGGATCGAGCCTGCAACCCAGTCAGCATGTGCCTTACTGGGAATCTAACCAGCAAACCTTTTGTGAGGCGAACGTGATAACCACTACACTACGGAAACCGATATAACCAGCAAACCTTTTGGTGCACAGAATGATGTGCAACCGACTGAACCACACGGGCCAGAGTGAAAGGAAAATAATTGTTATTTCCCATCTATGGAAGGTAAAGTGCTGCTCTCTTCCAACAGCTTACTCCATTATTAGTCTTCACTGGATACTGCAGGCTCGGAGGTTGCTTCATTTTTAATCACTGGTCATCCAGCCTGGGCCACAAGATCTATCTGCTGAGCTGGTCCCTTACTGTCACCACTGTCATCTCTTCCTTCTTTTTCAAAACAGTTTCTGCCCTGACCGGTGCTCAGTGGTTAGAGCATCAGCCTGTGGATGGAGGGGTCTCAGGTTTGATTCCTGGTCAAGGGCACATACCTCAGTTGCAGGTTCCCCAGTGGTCAGTGCACATGCGGAAGGCAACCAATCGATGTGCCTCACGTCAATGTTTCTCTCTCTCCCGCACCTTCCTCCCTTCCACTTTCTAGAAATCAATGGGGAAAATATCCTCGGGTGAGGATTTAAAAAAAAAAGGGTTTTGAAAGAATTTCTCATGTTTGTCCTCTACCTCACCACTGTGATGCCTCAATTGCAATACTTATGGCCTCCATCAAGATCTTTTAATTTAGTTATCCGTTTCATCTTTCCTTATCTCAGCCAGCTATTTCGGGATTCTCTAATTTTTCATAGAATCCGTGTCCTTTCAGATCTTGTGGAGAATAGGTTGTTAGGTTTTTATTATCCTATATAATAGAGGTAATATACAAATTAACCTTCACAAGATGGCTGCCTACGACCAGGCCGGCAGGGATGTTAGTGAGGGATGACAAATGACTGAACAGCAGGCTGCGTGGGCCAACCAGGTCAGAGGAAGGCTGTGAGGGATGACCAGGTGAACAGAGGGGGGGCAGTTGGGAGCAATCAGGCCAGCGGGGAGGGGGGCAGTAAGAGGCGATTAGGCTAGCAGGTGAGGGGGTAGTTAGGGGCAACCAAGCAGGCAGGTGACTGATTAGGAGCCAGCGGTCCAGGATTGTGAGAGGGACATCAGATTGCCAGTTTAGGCCCAATCCTGATCGGGCCTAAACCAGCAGTTGGACATCGTCCAAGGGGTCCTGAATTGGAGAGGGTGCAGGTTGGGCTGAGGGGACATCCCCTCCTCCGTGCAAGAATTTCATGCACCAGGCCTCTAGTTACAAATAGCACAGCAGGCCCTACCAGGTTTGGTTCAGTGGATAGAGTCTCATCCTGAAGGGTCCCAGGTTTGATTCCAGTCAAGGGCATGTACCTTGGTTGCAAGCTCAAACCCCGACCTGGCCCTGGTTAGGATATGTGCTGGAGGCAACTAATCAATGTGTCTCTCCCTCTCCCTTCCACTTTCTCTAAAAAGCAATAGAAAAATATCCTCAGGTGAGGATTAACCAAATAACACAGCAGAACCCATCCTTTACAAGCATCAGTATACACTTTTATAAGTATATTTATAAATTAGATTTTTAGAAATAAAAATTGCTTCGTCAAGATTTTTTCTTTTTACTTTGACAAATTTGCCAAACTGCACACAAAAGAAGACATCAGTTTCAACTTCCACAAACTGACTGTGAAAGTGCCTGTGTTCTCTCGCTTTTACCAATACCGCATACATTATCAAACGTTTTCATCTTTGTCCACTCTGCTTCACGGAAAACTGTGCCATTCTAGTTTGCATTTCTATGTGAGACTAAGCACTTTTTCATGTTTTCTGCCCACTTCACCCCTTCCCCTTTTTTCTGTGAGCTGCCAGATCTCATTGCTCGTTTTCTATTGGATTTTTTTTTTCTCACTGATTTAAAGGAGCGCTTTGTATAACAGAAAATGATTCTTTATTACAAGCGTGGCAAACATCTGACTTAGGGTTATCCCCTGTCACTATCTGTGGTATCTTTCTCCCCACAGAAATCTACCTGGCCATGATTACACTTACCAGATGTTTCTTTTACAGTCTCTGGCTAAACTGAGAAAAAACTTACCTCGTAGCACTGCTGTGATATGGAAATAAATTATACACGTAAAAAGCTTGGCACAGAAGCAGCCAACTAGATTTCACCTTGGGAACTAGAAATTTCGTTTTCAGTCAGAAAAAAAAAAATACAATTAAGTCACAGACGTTAGCGTGACCCACTAGGTCTGGCTCCTACTTGACTCCCTGGCTCTGGTGACCATCCTGTTTTCCTTAAATGTGCCACACGGAGCCTCTATACTTCCTTTTCTCCACATTCAGATTCCCACCCTCATCCCACCTTCTCCACGTGCCACAAGCTCTCCCGCAGATACCACCACGGGTCCCAATCACACATTTCTATAGTTTCCAGGTCACAGGCTGGCGGGCAGCTCCTTTGGGCAGAGAAACTGCCTACATCTCCCCCACGTGTGGCCGCTGGTAAGGATTCAACACTTTGTTCCTTAATCAATACCCACGGCTGGAAGGGAAGGAAAAGGGTAGCCCTGGGGTGAGTGAGCCCCGTCCGGGCCTCTCCCACATCCACACAGTTCCCCCTCTGACCGAGGGCCTGTCACAGGATGACTCCTGCACGGTCAGGAGGAGGCACAGGTGTCAGCAAAGGTTCTCTTCTCAATTAAAATACCAAAATCTGCCCAGCAGGTGTGGCTCAGTTTCACTTCCCGGTCAGGGCACTGACCCAGGTTTCCAGCTTTATCCCTGGTGGATCTTTTAGGAGTCAGCTAAAAGATATTAATGTTTCTCTCTCATTGATGTTTCTACCTCTCTCCCTCTCCCTTCCTCTCTCTAAAATAAATAAAAACTACTTCAAAAGAAAAGCCATTTTTTCTTCATATATATATATATAAATTAGGTGATTCTAAATGCATGGGGAAGCTTTGGGACAAGTTTTTGGCTTTTGCACAAATGCCTTAGGCATTCACTTTGGAAATTATTATTAAAATTACTGTAGTTAGAGGGAGGGTATGTATGAGGGGTAATGTTAAAATACGTACACAGATAATAATTTAATAAATAAAATAAAATAAAATTACCGTAGTTAGGTCCTAGCCAGTTTTGCTCAGTGGATAGAGCGTTGGCCTGCGGACTGAAGGATCCCAGGTTCGAGACTGGCCAAGGCCATATGCCTGGGTTGTGGGCTTGATCTCCCCCCACCCCCCAGAGAGCGTGCAGAAGGCTGCCAATCAATTTTTTCTCATCATTGATGTTTCTATCTCTCTACGTCTCTCCATCTCTCTTCCTCTCTGAAATAGCAAAAAATTTTTAGAAATAAAATTACTCTAGTTAGGCCCTGGCCAGGTAGCTGAGTTGGTCAGAGCATTGTTCTGTTATGCCAAGTTTACAGGTTGATCCCAAGACAGGGACAGAAGAATCAACCAATGAATGTATAAATAAGTCTCCCCCCCCCCCCTCTCTTCTTTCTCTCAAAAATCAATTAAATTCTTTTTAAATTACTGTGGTTAGGCTCTCAGCAGTTTGGCTCAGATGATAAAGCTTTGGCCTGCGGACTAAAGGGTCCCAGGATCGATTCCAACCAAGGGCATGTAGTACCTGGATTGCAGGCTCAATCCCCCGCCCTGGGTATCTCTCTCTGTCTTTCCCCTTCCCTTCCACTCTCTCTAGAAATCAATGGGAAAATATCCTCAGATGAGGATTAAAAAAAATTACTGTAGTTGGTAGCATACACATAGGAGGAAATATGATTGTCAGCACCACCACTCAGGTAAGAATTAACTGAGTGCTAGAAACAATCACTGCTGAAGGTGAGACTACCACCACACCCATCAGGCAGACTGGCAGCAGGAGATAAGGCAGGTGGTGGTCTCTTCACTCCTTGATTAAGTAAACTATATTATTTCTTTTACAGCTTATAATTTTACCTAACATGTTATTAGGAGTGAACAGGTGAGTGATGTCTACAGGGGAAACTTAGTAACCAGCACTTAGCACAAAGGATGGACATGATAATGGCTTAATAAACATTCGTTATCACTGCTGTTATCACTGTTATTTCTGTGGACGACATGGCAGGACAGGTTCTTCTCCAGCAAAATTACGCCAGTTTCACAGAGGCCATTTGTGACATAGGTACCACTTACGTTATGCTGCCTTTTCATAAACTTAACTTCCCAGCTTCAGGGGTTGTCCCTGCATTATTTCAAAGGGCACAGAATTAGAAACTAAAATTTCCATTCTATAA